GAAGTTGATATGACTCCTTTCCTTTATTTATTTTCTCCATTTGAAAACATTAGACCTTCTACATTTATTTTGCTTATTGTTAATATTAGTGTCGCTGCTGATGCTTTAAATAAAAATGTTTTTATTGTTGTAATGTGAAGATTAAATTTAACATGAAAGACTGCAAATATTCAACACTTTTTTTAAGATCACTGAAAGGAGGAAAAACCAAAGTGAAGTATGGATTATATTGGTAAGTATATTATATCGGTTATAAAATATCAATATCGGTCGATCACTAGTTCTTTTAACCCAAAAAGCAAATTAATGTTCCTTAGAACTGGCTCTCTTTGAAATACAAATCTTGTGTAATCCCACGTATCTGTAATCAGATGCACATTTAAAACTAGAATATTTTTTTCTGTAGCCACTCCACATACCTGAAGGAGTGGATCGCAGATCTACAATGGCCTTCATAATAATTTAATTATAATATTTCTTGAATAATTATTAATCAAAGTTACATTTATGCATGTTAGAGAATTAAGTTGAATATGGCTTTAGTCTGCCTTTTTACTCTCTAATGGCGCTTTTCCACTGCATGGTACGGCACGGTACGGCTCACTTTTGGGGGGTTTTCCACTGGGTACAGTACCTGGTACTTTTTTTAGTACCACCTCGGTTGGGGTTCCAAGCGAACCGTACCATTACCAAAACGTGACGTGTAAACTCTTGCTGATCACGGATTGGCCGGAGAGAATCGTCACTACCTGCGTCACTGAACTTGCGACACAAACACAAAAGAACCGCTAGATTTAAATCAGCACAGCCAGTGAAAGATCGAACGCAACTGTTTTGAATGAGCGCACCTCTTTTTAACAACCAAAAAGTGGCTGTTCCCCCTGTTGAGGAAGTACAGACGTTCCTCTCGTTGATAGCAGAGGAGCGGATCCAGTGAGAGCTTGATGGGGCGACGCGGAATGAAAACGTTTTTTAGGAGTCGCGGCAATAGAGGCGGCGCAACTATAACGACATGTGAATAATCCCGCCCACACTAAAGCGGTACTAAACTGCAGTGGAAACGCAAACCAAGCCAAACCGAGCCGTGCCGTACCACGCAGTGGAAAAGCTCCATAAGAAGCTGCTCTTATTGTGTGTGTGACCATGCCCGATAAGGTTTAGGGCTGAGGCAACCTCAAACCGTGCCGAGCCGAACCGTGCCGAGTCGTACCACGCAGTGGAAAAGCGCCATAAGATAAGTGTTTCTCTGCGTATGTGTGTTAGTATCTGTCTGTACAGGGAGAAGTTCAGACAGTCCCAGGACAAACATTCAACTGCCAATGTCCAAGCGTATCAGATATACGTCTTTGGAGAGATGTATTGTGTCTGACCTCTGATCACTTGTCACCAAAATAGTCGTCAGAAGATATGCTTCAAGCTTGCGTCCATATGTGGAAATTGTCTAAGTTTATCTAGGTTTTAGAACTAATCAGAATTTTGCTGATTTATGCATTGACGCAATTAGCAATCTCTGTCAGGGTATAATTGTTGGTGTTTTTGAATTGTAAAGCAGAGCGGCCTACGAACTCCATCGAGTGTTGAAGCTGGCTTCTGCTGATGAAACTGCAAACTATGTTCTTCAGTAAATTTTTCTTTAATTTATCGCATCTCTGACTCCTAGTCTTCATTCATTACAACACCTGGTCCTTTGGGTTTAACTGTAAATTCCCCTACAGCCCGAAGTCTTTTGCTTTTGACTACGGGTGAATCTCCAGTTGTCACTTATGATTGTCGTTTGGATCTTTCTGGATTACAATCAGCCATCAAAATGATAAGTTAAATTATTGCAGCTGCTGTAAGAAAAGGCTAAAAATGATCCGCCACCTGCAGCATCCTCACATGTAATATAGCCTACTAGCCAGAGGACTATTTCTTTATGCAAAATGACGCAAAGACGAATGGTACCAACCAGTACCACTCAAATTAGAACACATTTATTACAAGCTTACCGTTGTGATTCGGGCTAAGATAAGGAGATAGTTTTAAATACTGGCTGGTTATGTACTTGCTCAAATTGATTTTGTATAGCTTTTAACAACAACAAAAAAAAAGTTACTGCAGCTTTAAATTATATTAAAATACATTGCATTCATATTTACAGAGTAACTGGCACAGTACATACAGTAAATTTACTTTGGTAAGAAATCAAGAGAGGCAACTGACCGATGCATATCACGTTGGACATTTGAACGCATTTCCTCTGCCTCTACCTCATCTCCCCAGTTTTTTACTCTGGACACAGGTCCCTCACTCTCTGGGGTTGTGAAACTACAAAAAAAATAAAAATAATAAAAGACAAATCAAAACTTGGTCAGTCAATGTGTCAACGCTAAACACTGTTTGTATGCCAGAATGAGATTATATCTCATCCTAACATAAAATTGATATTCATTCAATTAACAAAGAGGTTACAATTTATTTATGTAATACTCCACAAAATGCCAACCACAACATTTAAAAAAAAAACTTCCATTTGACTCTTGAGAAAAAAAGTGTCTTCTGCACACTATTTGAATCAGATAAGGAAAGTAGAATGATCAGTTACCTTTCTGGTCTGCGTGAGCTCTGTGAACATTTGCCAGGCTCTTCAACCGCGTGAGATTTTCTCATACTACCATCTGCACCGCGTTTCCTACAATGGGACCATCTTGAAGCGCCTTTGTTCCTTCAAGACAAAAGACACGAGTAGCATTTAAAAAAAGTAAACCAAGTAAAAAGGATTCTTACACATTATCTGAACATTATGCAACATGAAGCACATCCATTAAAAATAAGATATTTTTTTCCTTTTGTAAACAAGCAATTCGTGTTAAAACGTATTAATCGTTTTATACAAACTTGGCCACGAATCAACTTATTAAACTAAAACGAGAAAATACTTGTTTAAAGTAAACTGTTATCAAGGCGCCACAAAATATCCTGTTGTCAACACACACGAGATCGAGCTGCTCACTACAACATAAAAATAACGACTAAATAAAATGACAGATTGAGAGTGTTTTTAGAAGTAATGTGGTAACGTACAATCTTGATGTTCTCATGGCGCCAAGCCGCCAACATGCTCATTTAAACTCTAAACACAACACAGAGGACTGGCGGGAGACTTCGCGTCCCTTTTTCAACAGTGTCCACGCTTAAAAAAGTTAAAGATATGAATAAAATTGGAAGCTAAAAGGAGTGCAAAAACGTGTTCTGATGCCCAAAACAGACTAAATAGTGCACTATACAAAACGATACTTCAGTGTCTTGCTTTGCTAGCAAACCACTGAGACAAAAAGTCATAAAACAAAAACAACTACACCTACCACTAAATATTTTTCGAATTCTTACCTGTTTTCATCAGGTTTGCAATCGTTTTCGTATCTGTATTTTTGATGAGCAGACATTGTTTCGAATAAAAATCAGAAAGCTCACGCACGAACTGCTGCCGGGTTTAGGTTAAACCGCGCCAATGTCCCTCAGTGTACAATAGTGATGTCCGGTAGTGATGTCCGGTTCGCGAACGAATCATTCAATTTAACCGGTTCTTCTTAGTGAACCGGTTGAACCAGTTGTTGAATGTAGTGAACGAATACGCCCTTCACTGAACGAGTTTCTTTTGAGTCTGAACGAGATCGAGAGATCTTCTCGTTCGTGAACGACATGACCGAACTGGTACATATCTCATTCGTGAACGACTTGAATGAGAGTGTACCTGGTCAGTCGGCCGTTTAGCATGTCAATCTCGATCAGCTATCAGCAGAAAGCAGATGCAAAGCGCAGTTATATGTACTGTGCACATACGCTTGTTTATATATTCATATTTAGCATACAGAACATAACTCCACGTTTAATCCCCGATTTATGAATGTGTAATTGTCTGACCAAAACAATTAAAATGTTAATTATGCAAGAAAACCTTGCGCTTTGGTCATCTGAACAACTTACTTAGACTTTATTTATTTAATGAGTAGATTATGCAAACATTTTAATAAAGCCAAATCAGTTTTTGTAAGAAGTGAATAGCCTACGTTCGTTGACTTAAAGGGATAGTTCACCCAAAAATTAAAATTTGATGTTTATCTGCTTACCCCCAGGGCATCCAAGATGTAGGTGACTTTGTTTCTTCAGCAGAACACATATGATGATTTTTAAGTCCAACCGTTGCAGTCTATCAGTCGTATAATGCATGGCAATGGTAACAAAATCTATGAG